GGGGGGCAGGAAGGAACTAGATGTTCCGGCAAAGGAAGGCTTGTGGCGTCAGTTGAGGACCGCGCGATAATAACACTGAGGGGTGGGGTTGGGGGGGGAGGGGTCTGCTTGAATACCAAAGGGCTGCGGCTTAATTAGTACCTTGTCAGATGTGAGCTCCACTTCCCACTAATAATTGTCATTGGACTGTGGGGAGAGAGAGGGGGGCGGGGGTAGTGTAAGCCCACCGCAGTGCAGCATCCGCTCGCTTGCTCGGCCCAACAAAAAAAATCACTTACAGTGACATTGACGAAGGCTTTGCTTGCCGTTTCTGGCTTTGTGTTGATGAGTCAGCCTGCGTTTTAAATATTTGAGCGCATTCTGCAAACGCCACCAGATAAAGCCTGTCAGCATTTCACCGCGGGGAGATTCTTAAACACACACACACACACACACACACACACACACACACACACACACACACACACACACCATAAAAAACACATTTTCAAATCTGTCACGAGGCTGACACAAGCTTAAAGTAAATCATTTGCTTAAGTTATGTCCATACATTGGTCTCAAAGCGGTAATGTTACCATAAATGACAATCAATGCGCAAATGGCGTCAGCGCACTCCGGCTCACGATAGCGTGACGGTCTTTCATGGGTGTGCTATAAAAGGCCTCTTGTCATGCTCATCAGTCAACGCGGCCGTGGGGTCATCCGTCAGCCAATGGGCTCGGCCGTTACTGAAGGGCACGTCTCCTTGGGAAACGCTCCGCTCCATCTCTCCCTCACGTTTCCTTTTTTTTTTTTCCCTCCCTCCCCTTTTCCCTACCCCGCCTCCAATCCGTCCCCCTCCTCGCCCGGTCTGTTTATTAGCAATCATGAAAGAGGAAGTTACGTAAATGGAATCTTAGCGATAAGAGATCAAAGAACATAAAGGTGATTAATTAAAAAAAGAAAAGAAAAGAAAAAAAAAGAACAGGTGCAGCAAAAAGGGAGAGCGGCGGTGCGGGGGGGAAAAGGAAGCGAACGGCGCAAATGTGATGCAAGAGTGCCAGCTACAGATGGAACGGGGGATATGAACGCCAGGGCCATGTGGCCACCACAGGAGGACGACGACCACGCCGAGCGGGATGAGGGAGGGCAAGCGGTGGATGTGAACTGCTGATACCAGTGACGGACAGGGCCACTGGCAGTAGCTCGGGAGTGGGAAGCAAGGGAGGGGGTGGCCGGTCGGAGAGAATATGAGAGTTGGAGGTTCACGAGGTCAGCACAAACGAGACTGCAGGGGACAATTATTGGCAAAATGCAGGCATGTGCACGCGTGCGCTTTCTTTCAGTGGTCGGCTCTCCGTCTAACAGGTCAAAGCACTGCCACAGCAGTGAATAGCGATCAGAAACGAGGACCCGAGCCTGGTGGTCAAAACGAGCATCTTCCAAATCAGTCAACACTCGTCTCCGAACTCGGTTTAACGGCGAGCGGACGTACACTGTGACTGGCCGGTCTGCGAGTGCAAGCAAGCTATTCTGAGCGGGCCTGCGAGCGTATTGCCTAGTGAGTCAACATGAGTCAGGGCCGGCCAGAGAGTGCGCTTTGGCGCTCGTGTCAAAGCGAGGCCCTGAAACAGCTTTCAGAATAATTCACGTGACGAGATAGTATTTCGTACATTCACGTCATCTTGCAGTTACAAATGCTGTGAAATGGATGCCGCACACTGTACATGCTAGCAAAGTCAACTTGTTTCACACAACAAGCAGTTTGGCAGATAGTTGTCAATTCTTCTTCTTAAAACTGCAAGATGGTAAATTCCACACCCTGTTGATGCTTGCAGTCAAACCAAACATACAAATGACGTATATTATTTAAAATATAACCCCCATGACTTTGCCTTAGGAATGTTAGCTTAATGCTTCCGCAAACACACAACCACCATAGGTGAGCTAACAAATTGGCGCGTGTGTGTTTAGGCGACAAATATTTGAACACGATTGGCAGCAATACATGTCAAATTATCTTTAGCCTCTCTGCAGAAAAAATCCCCCCAAAAAAGCGAATGTTACTGCCGCTAACTGAGGAGCTGTGACCATCTATTTCATGAACATCAGTATACTGACTGATTGTTGTCCGCTAACAGACGGCGCGACCACTCAGGCAGACTTTTATTGCCCCCTGTTCATCGGTAAAGACCTTCGCCCGTGTTTTCGCAGGCACCAGAGACGACGGGAATGGGCGGAGCCTTGCTTTTTTTTTGGTTTTTCTTTTACAAGCCCGTCCAGGGGGGGACGATGCAGAGTTCGCCTCGTAAATCACGTCCGGGGCGAGAGGAAGTGAGTGGCAAATGGGGCATATGTGCGGAAGGGAGTGGGGGTAACCACTGATTAAGACACAAACACACAGGCAGGTGGGGATGGGGGGGTGGGAGGGAGAAAGTTATTGGCTATAAACTTCACGTCATTTCTTTTTTTTTAGATTTAGTGCCCAATAGAATTCATAATCGCGGTGGTAAAAACACAAAGTGGACGGGAGCAACCTCAGATTATTGAAGCTATTTTATGTAATTTAAAAAAAAAAAAAAAAAAAAAACAAAGGAGGTGGGGGCTGAGGCAGAGTGTTCAACTTTGTGTATTTACCTTTGGTCAGTAACAAAGGAATGTTTTTATGGAAGGGGGGGGGTAGAAATAAGGAGATTGGTTTTCCGTCAAGTAAGCTGCAAGAGTTTGAGACGACTGTTCTGGGGGGCCGGGGGTGTTCATCTTTTCTCAGCGAGGAATAAACGTCTGGCTGTAGACGTTTGGGGAATTGAGCAGGGGTGGAATTGGGGTGATAAAATGGATCCCTGCATTGCCGCAGACATTGAAGAAAAGGCAGCAGGGACCAAATGGAGTAAAAAAAAAACAAAAAACGAGAAAAAAATTCAAGTCAAATGTTATTTATGATTTTCTATGCGAGCAGCCCCCACCCCAACAAAAAACGTGAGAGAAATATTGACACTTTGCAGAGCTTGTAATTGTCGCGTGGACTTAAAAAGTTGATCGCGGCGATGCTGCGCTATGCAGAGCACGCCGCGCGATGAAAGCAATGTCAAGATGAAAGCGGGCGACGGGCTGCGCGGATCACTCGCAAATTTTCATGTCGGGGGCAGAAAATTATTCAGGCGCTGCGGCAAACGCTGGCATATGTAAATAAGAGCGCGTCGAGGCCGGCCGAGTTGTCAAGTCAATGTTATTTACTATTAAGGGGCATCTGAATACGGGTTTGGGACAAAGTATTGATGGTTGCCTCTAATTTCAAGTTTTCGGGGTCTGAAATGATAAGTGACACGTCGCGCCCTCGAAACAGTCAGGCGGCACATCAAGGCAGGACGGCGCAAAAGAAGTTTCATCTGTACAAACGTCAAAGGAACTTCTTCATCAAGGGGGTGGCAATGGGTGAAAAAAAAATGAAATAAAAACAGATTTGTGAGATGTCTTAAAACCTACTGTGGGGGAAAAGACTAAAAGCAAAGGGAGGGAGGGAATCAATTAAATTTTTTAAGACCAAGGAAGTAATCCGGACAGATCTGGGCAAATTGGTGGGCTTTGTTTCAGGAAATGATTGCAAGGGCAGCTCAACATACATCGACTTGAAGCCAATAAAACAAAAAGTGTCAAAAATAGACTTCTTGCTGTTTACCAGAAAAATGTTGCCTGATGAAGTATCAATGAACTCAATGCAACACAGATGTGAAGCAG